GGGCTGAGGCTAAAGTGGTAGAGTGCTGGTCTACAGCTGAAGAGCTGGATGGCAGTGCCCAGGCCCAGAGTTCAGGCACCACAACCGACAGAAAAAGAAAAAAAAGGAAAGAAAGAAAATGAGCAAGGAAATGGCCTGCGTCAGGAGAATTGTCTGGATTGAGGCAGGCCCTGGCACTTTCCCTACGGCCAATGCCTTTCATTCCTTTTCTGTTCATGTTCCAGAAGGGAATGGAAGGGTTTCCGAAGAGCAGCTATGGAACAATGGCTGAAGGTAAGAGAGCCTTGGAGTTCTGAGGAGGCGTCTCTGATCCCTCTCTACCTGGGACCCCGCCCTAAACACAAGGACAGAACCCATTATTTTACAGCCAGGCAGAAAAAGACAGCAACCATTTGTCCCCCATCTCCTCAACCCCTGTGCCTGAGACATCTTCCTCCCTCCCTCCCTCCCTCCCTCCCTTCCTTCCTTCCTTCCTTCCTGTCTGCCTTCCTTCCTTCCTTCCTTCCTTCCTTCTTTCTTTCCTTCCTTCTTTCCTTCCTTCCTTCCTTCTTTTCCTTCCTCCCTCTCTTCCTTCCTTCCAGGAATTAAGTCATAGCATTTTAGCAGATTCCCAGGAGAATACAGTGATCTACAAGTATGAAGAATCGTTCACTTACATGGCATTAATGCTCGTTTGTTTGTTTTTGCAGGAAGGGTGGACGACAGTGGATTGGAAGCACCTTCTTTGAGGATCATCCTGGTGGGAAAAACAGGCAGTGGGAAGAGCGCCACAGGGAACAGCATCCTCTGCCGGCCAGTGTTCGAGTCCAGGCTGGGGGCCCAGACAGTGACCAGGTCCTGCCAGAGAGCGCTCGGGACGTGGAATGGGAGGCGCATCCTTGTGGTTGACACGCCCTCCATCTTTGACTCACAGGTCCAGACCCAAGAGCTGGTGGAGGACGTCGGGCAGTGCTACCTGCTGTCTGCCCCGGGGCCCCACGTGCTGCTGCTGGTCACCCAGCTGGGGCGCTTCACGGCCCAGGACGTGGAGGCGGCGAGGAGGGTGAAGGAGGTGTTCGGATCAGAGGCCATGAGCCACACGGTGGTCCTCTTCACCCACAAGGAAGACCTGGGGGCTGGCTCCTTGGACGATTACGTGGCCTGCACAGACAATGTCCACCTGCGGGGCCTGGTGCAGGAATGTGGGGGGCGGTACTGCGCCCTCAACAATCGGGCGTCTGGGGAGGAGCAGCGCACGCAGCTGCAGGAGCTCATGGCCGTGGTGCAGGGGCTGGAGGGCTGGCACCAGGGCTCCTTCCACAGCAACGACCTCTTCCTGCAGGCTCACTTGCTGCAGCAGGGCGGGGACGGGGTCCTGCCGGAGGAGCGCAGGCGCTACCTGCACAGGGTGAGGCAGCACCTGGACAGACAGAGGAGGGCGCTGAGGGCGGAGCAGGGCAGCTGCTGCTGCAGGGCGGTGCTCGCTCTCAGAGCCTGGATGGCTTCGCACCTGCTCCTCACTGCCCTCCTGCTCCTGGCTACCTTGATCGTTATTGCTGTCTCCATCAATCTGTGTATCACGCAGGGGAAGTGAGCGTGCCCACTTAATTTCTAGAATGAGTTTTCTTCCGATTCTCCGTCAGTGTCCAGGGGTAGGACACACCCTCTGCATCACAGCTGTCAAACATTTCCCTGCAGGTGCTTTCAAGTCAATAAAACTGAGAGGAAACTACAGCTACCAGCACAACTATGCTTATTGCAGCATTATTTACCACAGCTAAGATATGGAACCAACCCAGATGCCCCTCAGTAGAGGAAAGGATCAGGAAAATGTGGTATATATACACAATGGAATTCTATGCCTCCATCAGAAAGAATGACATTTCCCCATGTGTTAGGAAATGGAAAGACTTGGAAAAAATTATATTAAGTGAAGTCAGCCAGCCCCAAGAAACATAGGTCCCATGGTTTTCCTTATTTGCAACAACTAGTATATGTCTGAGATAAGCAGAAAAGGTCAGATAAGTTAATGTTAGGGGAATGAACCCCAAGATAAGGACTCAAATGTTTTTTCGTTCATGTGATTGCTTCTAACATATTTATAAGATGATTTCTTTGCTGCTTTGTATGTCCCTCCCCCACAGTATAACCCCTGCTTTCACTGTATATGATGTTGGCATAATTTGTGGAGAGGAAGGGCATGAACAAATTGTTTAAATAGGGATACAGGTGGACCCGTTGCAACAATGAGATGTACAAGTCATTATGTCGAAAAAGGAACTTTACAACTTTGTAGGGGGGTGGGTAGGGGTTTGGAGGGGGAGTTGGGAAGGGATGGGAAGGGGAAACAAAGGAGGAGGCAACAATGCTTGATAAGAAATGTACTCATTATCTTGCCCATGTAATTGTAACCCCTCTGTAAGGTATTTTCACAATAAAAAAATTTTAAAAACACAGAGGAAATTAGTTTCCGTGTGTGTGTGTTGTGTGTGTGTGCCAGTACTGGGGCTTGAACTCAAGGCCTAAACCCTGACCCTTAGTTGAGTTTAGTTTTGTTGTTGCGCAAGGCTAGCATTCTACCACTTAAGCCATAGCTTAAGTTAAACGGAGCTGAGAGTCTCATGAATTTCCCTGCCCTGGCTGGCTTTGAACCTCAGTCCTCAGATCTCAGCCTCCTCAGTAGCTAGGATTACAGGCATGAGCCCACTGGCACCCAGCACCTTCTCTGTTTTGCGTTGTCAACGTTGTAGATTTGAAATGAGGGAAGTTCAGCGCATGGCTGCTGGGCTGCCTAGCTCTGCACCCAGCCTTCTACCAGCCAGGATATCACGAGGGGAAACATTCTGGGTGCACAGCTGGTGACCCGTTCTTCGTTTGTTCATCAACATGGCCCAACCTCATGGCGGATTGGAAAAGATGCTACTCCATCACCCCTCCACCCCTAAGAGAGGAGGAGGAGAGTCTGCGGGGAGAAAGGGATCTGGAGGTTTTGAAGAAGATGGAGAGAGGATTCTGAACCTGAGAGGGAGGAGAGCCAGGGCTGCAGGCATGGATGAGCCTCTGGCCCCAGGGGGAAGCAGGATCAGCGGCCATGAAACGCAGGGGCTGCTCAGCCCTAGAACAGAGATCGTGAAGGATCAGAGAGCAGCCATCTTGGGCTCTGTGACTTCCACGGTGGATTCTTGGCCTCATAATTGCTCGAGTAGGTAAAAGCTACGGTGAACAGGAGGCTGCGTCCTCGCAAGCCTTGCTGAGCACTGCCTTTTGGACTGCATGTAAGCTTCCTAGGTGAAGGCGAAGACGCCCCTCTGAACTCCTCAACCACCGAAACCATTGATTTGCTCACGGCTGCAGTGTGCATCAGCTCTCTGTCTCAAAGTTTGATGTGGAATGTGTGGGAAGGGAGCGGTCCATGCTCCTGTGATCGTTGGAGAAGACAGATAGTGGTGTGAGCTGAGCAATAGTTGAGACTCTGGAAATGAAACCAGA